ATCTACAAAATGGTATGAGAGAGTCGCCGGATTGCTGCAAAGTGTCTGTCATTTAACTTAAATACTATCTTTTCTCATTGAACAGGTCCATATCAAATATGAACCGAACGAATCAACCCGTACACGTCCCATAAGGCAACTCTAGTCAATAATAGCATGTAGTTGCAGGCGCAGGAAATGTTAAACAATAAATCAATAAAATCCACACAGAGAGGGGAGAACTAAAATAATCAAAGAAAAATCAAGAACATGTTACTAAAAAGCAAAGATGCACCCACTAACCTTATAATAGTTATATACATAATTACAACAAAAACTAATTGTCGTTAAAAGTCCCCCTTACCAAAAAAAAAAGGAAAATATTTCAAAAGAAAAACATATTTATATGCTAACTAAAGTAAAATATTGTCTGGCAGGTAAAGTGGAAGCAATGTCAAAAAAAAGATGGAAAGATAATTTGGTGATATTATTTAGTGTGCTTTTGCTGTTTATTATATTTTCATTTTTACTTAATTTAACAAAATTTGTTTGCTGCAATTTGTGTGCTTGAAGTACTCCTCGAAAGTAAAAGGAAAAACTACTAAGATAATATTTATGTGCTTTCGCCATCTGCATTTAAAAGTTAAATTCTCTGTGCTGCAGCTTATAAACAAGTTATATTGTTAACAATGCCCTCCCTCTCTCTCTAACTGTCTATCTCTAGCCCTCCTACTCTTAAATACTGTAAGCATTGCGAATGTTTTATACTGTTCTTTATTTGAATTTTTATATAGAATCGGTCGCGCAACCAAGAAGAATGTATTTTTCATTTATTTATATTTTTTTAATTATTTGATATATATAAATATATATAAAAACAAAAGAGAAACAACAAAAACAAACACATAGTAATGTATTTTGTAAGCGAATCGACATTGATATATTGATAATGAAGTGCAAGTTTAATAAAAGTGTGTATTTATTAAAAGTTATATATAAACAAATATATACATAATTGTTGATGTTTCATTCATAATTGCATAATACTAAGTAGTGCACACAACGTATTTTGAATTGCGCGCGTCATTTTGTGCGTGTGCCAAGCATCAGTGCTTCAAAGTGTCGCATTTTGGACGGCTGGCAACGCTGCATGTGCTGTAAATGCCAATCAGCTGACTGGCGGTTGCGTTGTATTGCCTACTTTTGTTTTTCTCTTTTTTTTTTGTTTGTGTTAGTTAATACCTACTAGTGCACCTATTAAGATTAGTAACTACGTTGGCGAATTTTGCAGCGAACGCGCCCACTCCGTAAACACATTGCGACAATGTATAACAACGCATTCATTGCTGCAATATTCATCCTCCCAATCGGGATTTATTATTGCCGGCTTATTGCATTGCTCGCGCGTACATTTTTGCACGGCTGCTGCCTCGGTTAACAGCTGAATTTGATCTGAGGGTGGTGGCGGTTGCGCAGCGGCTGTCTCGTTTTTAGCTTCCTCTGGCGCTTCCTTCTTGTCGGGCACGGAGTCCGCCGAAAGCGACGACTGTTGCTGTTGTTGTTGTTGCTGCTGCTGCTGTTGCTGCTCGCTCAACTGCTGATTGCGCTGATGATCGTGTAGTTGTCGTACATATTCACGCTTTTCCACGTCATGCCGCTGTTCGTAGACAGCCTTTTGCTTCTCATCCATAGATTCCCACATATTCAGAGCTATTGCTGTGATCTGCTCCAGCGTGCAAGCAGGATTCTGTTGCTTGATGGCCGTCATAGTATCCCGAAAGAAGAGCGCATATGGCGCCAGCGGCTTGGCCGGCGCCTGTTGAGATTGTTGCTGCGGCTGCTGTTGATTTGTTGTCATCTGATAACTGCTGGGTGTATCGTAGTCAATAGCCTCCTCCTCGTCGTCCACCAGCGTGGAGTGATCCAGACTGCTGAGCCTGCTAATACGTCGTGACTGTAAGAGGGAGACAAAGAGAAACAAAATGGAAAACGTTTTATAGCAGGTGTTAAACACATATGTATAAATAATTTTTTATTGAATCGAACAAAAACTTGGGTCTATCTTATAGGGAGATGGTGGCTCACTAATAATTTCTTCATCTTGGCTGCTGTATTGTAAATCAACTAAATATATGTGTGCTTAATCGCGTCCCAGCTAACAGCTCTCTATATTAGGCAAGACGCAGTGTACGTATATTTGTACATGTGCTTCGTTTGTGCATAACACGTACGGCTCTGCTCGACAATGGAGGAAGTGAAGAGCGAGAGGGAGACGCAGTCAGCAGTAGACGCAACCTGATGATTGCATGTGTATGAGTGTGTGTATGTGCCTGTTTGTTTGTATAAGCTTATTGGTGTGCGTGTTGTTTGTTGATAAGCATTTGCGTTGCCTTCTGCTGTTAGCTTGATTGCTGTTGTTGTTTTGTATCGATAACCCTCATGCGCTTACTGATGCCATCATCTAGGGCAGGCACACTCACACAGTCACAGACGAGCACACACACACACACACACACACACACACACACAACCATAAACTATTACGAATCCAAGAGAAGCGCACTGAACGTTTCCAATTGGGCGCTTTTTGGATCTATTATAAAACGATTATCAACCAATATATGGTTGCGAGCACCTTCATTAATCCAATTGCTCAACCGGAAAAATATTCGATCCACCGAAAATCAGTTGAAAATATTCATTTGGCTTTTGTATGTATTCCAATACGTTAGCGCCTGCTGGCCGGTGAGGTTGGCAGCAATCTTAAATGATTTCATTCAGAAAAAGAACACGTTAACATACAATACTTCAGTAGAACTATCCCTAAAAGAAACCACGCACTGATTATATACATTATTATTGTTGGGAAGACCACACGGCGCATCGCTCTCAGCTCTTCCACGCTTAAGAACTTACAGCATTTGGGTGTTGTGTCTGCTCCGGGGGCGTTTCGTTCATCTCAAACATTTCGTCGCCAAATGAGGGTGTGTGGAATTTATTCATAGCTATAGTAATTTATACGATTTGTTTTTATATACAAATAAATAAACAAATCAATTTATATGCCCAGCGTGGACTTTTGCAGGGTTTTGTCAGTGTTGGGCAATGACATTACTCAGCTTTTGTCAACACTAAATCATTGTGACTAAGTGTGACCAACCATTCGAAGGAAAATAAATACTAAAAACGTACCATAACTGTTTTACAGCACTGTGTATAGTTTGCAGCATTGAAACAATTGAAATAATGACGTTAAAACGAGTAGAGTAGGCTTTCATTTAGCTTACACATTAGTTAGTTTTAACAGTTTATTTATTATTTCTTTTGGCTATTAATTTTAGAATATTTTAATAATTAGGCGATATGTCTGTTTATGCTAAATTCAAAATTGATTCAGTATTAGCGTTTGCAAAATCGCGTTTTCAACGTTTTAGTACAGGAAAATCGAGTGATGGCAGATCAAAAGAGGAAGGTACCAAGACAGTACACCATCCAAATCAGAAGACAAACTTTGATCCTTACAAGCTGTTCAAAGATAAAGTGAATCAGCAATATTTCGTTAACGATGTAGATGCGCATTACATGGAATGCCTCTTCTCAAAATGGGTTCAGAGTCCGACTTCCGTACATAAGGTAAACTGCAATTTAATGATTGTGATATGTACATATGTATGTTTAAATGTCGAATTTCTTTTATAGTCGTGGCAACAGTACTTTACGGATGTTCTGCAAAGTAAAAATGTGGGCAATATAGAGATTCTGCCGACTAGGCAAAAATCAACTAAAAAACCTTCACATAAAGATGGCTGTAGCAAGAAAAATCACCGTTCTCGCAAAACTAAAGAAGAGGAGGAGGAATCAGATGATCATAGTGAAAAGAAAAGAAAACAGCGTAAGACAACTCAAAGAAAGCCGCAACATGACAAAAGAAGGGAATTTGATGATTATGGTGAAATGATGACGCCGTTTTCCAAGCCGCAGGGAGGACCCATGTTTCCAAACACAGTTGATAGAATGAAAACCGTTAGGCATAACAAGGAATCAGATGATTATACCGAAGTGATGACGCCGTTTGCCAAACTAAAGGGAAGAACCTTGCAGCCGGAAGAAGTAAATCGAACGAATAAAGTTAGGCATAGCGAGGAATCAGATGATTATAGTAAAACGATGACGCCGTTTTCCAAACTAAAGAGAAGAGCCATGCAGCCAAAGCCAGAGGGTCGAATGAAAAAAAATAGCCAAAGTAGGGAATCAAAGGGAGATGAAGAAATAATGAAGCCGTCTTTGGACCCAAACAGACGAGTCATGAAACCAAAACCAGCTAAGAAGCTCGGCCAGAAACCTAGAGAAAAGCAAGACAAAAATCCAAGGACCACACAAGAGCCACGATATCAAAACCTATTCGATTCCATAGCAACTGGCAAGCAGCCTCAAAATGAAAACTATGTGGTTGGGCATATAATTCTGAGTCCCTCTATGGAGGATATCGCTGGAAACAGTAATTCGAAACAGGAAACGGTAAAGAAAACACTTCACAGCGATAGCACATCAAAGACTACCATGAAAAAGCAGCAGATGACTAGCTCCAAGGTAGAGACGGCCAAAACAGTAACGCCGAATAAAAAGAGAATCGATTTCAGGAAATCATTGGAGCAGATCAAACAACAGAAGGCCGTACGACGTGTGAGGGCAGCTTTGAAACATCGACCCTTCCGTGCGAAACGTGAATTTCTTAAATCACAGATGGAGCGCATTGCTAGAATGAAGAAGAGTAATCAGCCCAAAGGCCACGTGAAGCCCAAGTACCGAAAGTAGAAAGAGCGTGGAAGTACATTCGATGCTTTACCAGTTTACAATATCCAAATTCAGATAGATATATAGTTATGTATATACATTTGGAAAGTTTGACAAACATGGAAATCATTAAAATGTACATCCTGTAAAACAGAGTAGCAGAAAATAAAACATAAAATTATGTTGATATATATATTTATATATATTTAAAAGTATATAAATATATATATTATGTAAACACAGAACTAGTTGCTTCAAAATTCATGTTAGAGTCAAAATTGCAGCTCAGGCTATAAATTAGTTTTTGGCAGATATTGGCGATGTATCTGAAGCCTGGCCGCTTGGGACCCGCTATAGTGATGAAGAGTTTAACAACCATCGACATTACCCGAAGATCGCTACAAATTACCAAAGCTCTCAGCGCCACAAAGGATAGGTCGGCCAATCTTAAAGTGGAAAGCTTTGCCAATGGCAGCAATGCCAGCTATATTGAGCGGCTGTATCGCAAATGGTCCAAGGATCCAAATTCCGTGGATGAGGTGAAATTGCTTAATATTTGTTGTTGTGGTGCTCTGTATTCTGATCCTATACTCGTCGACATAGAGCTGGCACAATTATTTCACGGGCAAGCGACGCACGATTAAGCAGGACAGACAGCTGAAGACCAAGCACCGGAAATGGGAGCCCACTGCAGTTGGAACGGGAGGCTCGACTACAACGCCTGCTCCGGCAGCCGACTGGAAGTACATTGATGATCACCTGGTGGTGCAGGCCATCATCCGGGCGTATCAAACACGTGGCCATCTAGCTGCTGATCTCGATCCATTGGGCATTGTCGGACCCACGGGCCATACACCATCTACCGAGGACAGGAAGCTGCAGGCAACCAAGGCGGTGCTGCGACAGCACTACTCTTATGCATTCAGTGAGCTTTATAACAAATGACACTTACACTTGACAATTGATAGATCAACCACTTAAATCCTTCACTAACAGACGATTTGAATGCACTGTTTAAGCTGCCAACGACTACGTTAATTGGTGGCGACGAACAGTTCCTCCCGCTTAGGTAAGAGGGGAGAGCATTGGATGGGGGACTCAGTTGCTCTAACGTTCTCATCCGCAGAGAAATTTTAGATCGTCTGGAGCGTGCATATTGTGGCCATATCGGAGTCGAATATATGATGATAACATCAATTCTGAAAAGCACCTGGATACGGCAGCACTTTGAGGTGCCTGGCGCTATCAATTTCAGTGCAGAGGAGAAGAAACTCATACTTGAGCGTCTGACACGCTCGTCGGGCTTTGAGAATTTTTTGGCCAAGAAATACTCGTCGGAGAAGCGCTTTGGACTGGAGGGCTGCGACATTATGATACCCATTATGAAGGAGATAATCGATCAGTCGAGCAAACTGGGCGTCGAGTCGGTGCACATTGGCATGGCGCATCGGGGCCGTCTGAATGTGCTGGCCAATGTTTGTCGCAAGCCATTGGATGAGCTACTGTCACAGTTCAACAGCATTAAGGCCACAGACAGGGGCTCCGGTGATGTCAAATATCATTTGGGATTATTCACAAAGCGTTACAATCGGCAATCGAAGAAGGATGTGCGCATCACAGTTGTGGCCAATCCATCGCATCTGGAGTTCGTCAATCCTGTTGTGCTCGGCAAGGCACGGGCAGAGATGTTCATGCGCGGCGACTATCAGGGCAACAAGGTGCTGCCCGTGTTGATACATGGAGACGCCTCGTTCTGTGGCCAAGGTGTTGTCTACGAGTCCATCCATTTGACGGATCTGCCAGCATATACCACCTATGGCACGATTCATGTGGTCGTCAACAATCAGGTGGGCTTCACCACAGATCCACGATTCTCACGCTCCTCCCGCTACTGCACGGATGTGGCGCGAGTTGTGAACGCGCCCATCTTCCATGTGAACGCCGATGATCCGGAGGCGTGTGTGCATTGCGCCCGCGTTGCAGCCAAATGGCGTGCGAAATACCACAGGGATGTTGTCATCGATATCGTTGGCTATCGCCGCAACGGCCACAACGAAGCGGACGAGCCCGCCTTCACCCAGCCGCTGATGTACCAGCGCATACGCAATCTGAAACCCTGCACAGTTAAGTATGCGGAGAAGCTGGTCCACGACGGTGTCATCAAAATGGAGGAGTATACGGAGATGACCGCGAAATACGAGAAGATATGCAACGAAGCCTTTGAAAAGTCGCAGAAAATCAAAACATTTAAGGTGAGTTAAGACATTGGAATGCATCAATGATATATGGCGAATAAACACTTATAGAACTCGCAATGGATCGATTCGCCCTGGTCGGGCTATTTCCAAGGTCGTAATCGCCTCAAGATGTGTCCAACTGGAGTCAATCTCAAGACTCTAATGTACATTGGCAACAAGTTCGCCTCGCCGCCGCCCACCGAGAATAAGTTCACAGTGCACAAGTAAGTAGCTATCTATATATACCCATCATCTATATCATATATGCTCTCGACAGAGGAATCATGCGTATTTTGGGTATACGCAAAAAAATGGTGGAGGATAAAATAGCGGATTGGTCATTGGGTGAGGCCTTTGCCATTGGTACTTTGGTCAAGGATGGCATACATGTCCGCATATCTGGGCAGGATGTGGAGCGCGGCACGTTCTCGCATCGACATCATGTGCTGCACGATCAGACGAAGGACAAAGTCAGATACAATTCACTGCAGCATCTCTATCCTGATCAGGCGCCATATGATGTGTGCAACAGTTCGTTGTCCGAGTGCGCCGTCATGGGATTCGATCTGGGCTACTCGATGGCCAATCCCAATACGCTGGTCATCTGGGAGGCGCAATTTGGTGATTTCGCCAATACGGCCCAAGCGATCATCGATCAGTTTGTAGCCAGCGGCGAGACCAAATGGGTACGACAATCTGGTCTAGTTTTATTCCTACCGCACAGCATGGAGGGCATGGGACCAGAGCACTCATCTGGTCGCATCGAACGTTTCCTACAGTTGAGCAACGATGATCCCGATTGTTTTCCGGTTATGTGTGATTCCGACTATGTTGCTCGTCAGTTGCTCAACTGCAATTGGATTGTGACCAACTTGACGACGCCGGCGAATCTCTTTCACGCCATGCGCCGGCAGGTGGGCATGTCCTTTCGCAAGCCCCTGATAAATTTCTCGCCTAAATCTCTGCTGCGCCATCCGCTGGCGCGTAGCCCGTTCCGTGACTTCAACGAGTGCAGCTCCTTCCAGCGGATCATACCCGACAAGGGCAAGGCATCCCACAATCCCGAGTGTGTCGAACAGCTGATCCTTTGCAGCGGCAAGGTATATTATGATCTGGTCAAGGAGCGTGACGATCACGACCAGGAGGCGACCACGGCCATAGTCCGCGTAGAGCAGGTGGAGTTGACTCTTTATTCATAGGTCAAAACCACTTTACTATATTCCATTTCCATTCACAGATCTGTCCCTTTCCATACGATTTGATCTACAAACAACTTGAGCTATATCCAAAGGCGGATCTTTTCTGGGTACAGGAAGAGCATAAGAATCAGGGTGCCTGGACCTATGTCCAGCCGCGCTTAGATACGGTGCTTATCGAGCTGAAGGCCAATGAGTAAGTGTTTTCTTTTTTCTTTTCTGCTCCTATTTCACTTATCTAACAACTGGCAATTGGCAATTTCGTTGCGCTAAATGCCAAGGCGCAATGCCAAAGGCCTTGGTCTACTGCCTAATGATTCAGGTGCGACGCGCCTTCAAAATGTCAATTGATTATCATTTGGTCGTCGCCCGTCGCTCGTCGCTCGGTGATCTGCGATCGTTGATCGTTGATCGTCGCTCGTCGTTTCTCTCGGTGACGCTAGCCATGATTCAAAATGGCGTTGGGCGACATGACGCCATTATATCGAGAAACGTCTTCGTCTTGGTTGACATTAAAATCTAGCTGGTGGCTGATTGCTTTCACATTAATCGATTTTCGAACAAAAACAAACCAAAAGGCGAAACGTGTGCCAAACAACGTGCAAACACAAAACGATTGTGGTATGGATAAATTAGACTATGCTCATACCCTGTAAAGGTGGTGTCAGTAGGGGAAAAACATAAGTTTTGTGGGTTGTGGAATATATATATACAGAATTACTGATAGGCTTTATATTTTAGGGTTTATTCTTTTCCCATTATTTTATAGTTATCATTCAAATTTTATACATATTTCTATTTAATACATACCTGAAACATTCATTGAGTATTTGCAGTGCCTAGGGTCTTTAGTTTTCTTATAGAACTCCAACTCATTAACTATCAGTGTGTATTCCCTCATTCACAGTTTATGCCTCAGTCATACTGCCTTACACTCCGTCACTCACATAGCCGTTTTATGTTACCATTTACAGGGTATCTATTAAAAAATAGCACTTGAAGGCTGATCTCACTCAACTCGCTGTTATGAGATTTATAGGGAATGCGCGCATTTGGTAAACATTTCAATATATTTTCATGTCAAATATATGTTTGGCCTTTTTGTTTCCAAATGAGCTCTCGATAGATATATATATTCTTATACTTACTTATATATATATGTATGTATGTATATAACTTGTGACCTTCTCTAAGTTCATATGTTGTTGACAGCACGTGTCTGTTTGCTTAGGCCGTGTGCGCTGAGTAAGCTCTAGAAAAATGCTGTTTTGTGTCTTGTGTGTCTTCTGTTTGATTGCGATAAATTGCAGCCCGTTCGCTTTCTGAAGGCTCCAATAATTATTTTCAATTTTGTATTTGGCTTTTTGCGTTGTTAGTAATTAGCCTGGCGTCCACAGTCCCCGACACCGGCCTCGGCTCTTTTTGTCTCTATGCACTTTGAACAAATTGCGAGACAGCCAGCTCGCGCTGTATTGCTTTAGCTATGGCTATGGCTATGGCTGTGGTTGTGGCTGTGGATGTCGATGTCCATGTCGCTGTCGCATGAGAAACTAGCGCAAGGAACTTGGCACAGTTTTTAGTCGGCGTTTGATACTAAACGGCAACCGCCTGCAGCCGCTCCCTCGCCCTGTTTTCTATTGAATTTAAGCATTTGCTTTTCGCGAAATCTACATAAAATTTAATGTAGCGACATGTAGATATATCTATATATGTGATATGTGTTAGAGTGTGCGTGTGTGTGTGTGTGTGTATGGCTATCTATGCGCTGCTCCTGCTAAGAACAGAGCCAAGTGGTTCGCTAAATTTGTGCGCTGATTTATGGAAATATTTTGTGGTCTGCAAGGCTGGTTTCCCTAAACAAAAAGCAACAAATAATAATAATGTTCTATCTAAACTTGTTTTTCTTTCAAGTGAAATTCAGAATTTTATATAAAATTTATAGAACAACATAAGTTTTGTTTAGTTTTTATTTTTAAATAAAAAGAGACAGAGAGAGAGAGAGAGAGAGAGAGAGAGAGAGAGAGAGAGAGAGAGATCCATAAATCCTTTCTCTTTCTCGCCTTTCTTGCTTCTCTCACATTTAAACAATTGAAATTCCTGCTCAATTGCGAAAATATTGAAATACTCATAAATTTCAATTTAAAAATTTATATTTTGTTTATCTCAACATCTATATAAAATATCTATGGATTGGGGAATTTCCTATGTTTGTAGACGATTCGATCTAGATATGCTTTTCAATGAGCATGAAATTGTGCATGTCTCTGTTTGTAATTAATTTATGCAGCAGCGAAACTAAAATATGAGGGTAGCCTAAAGAAATGACAATTGCACAATATTATATATGATATATAATCAAGAACAATTTTTTATAAATATGTTATATTTAGATATTCATATAATCTCAAGAAACATTTGTTTGACGATAAAACTTTTTCTTTCCATAAAATTCTATAACTTTTCTTGCCACCCTCGTTTATATTCTTAATCACATTGAGTCGTGTTGCCAGCCACAAAAATTGAATGAAAAGCGTCGCACACAAAGGCGCTCTGCTAAATCCCAGGAATGTAGCATATTTGCTAGACTATATCATATACATATATCGCCTATATATACACAAATATAAGTATATATACATATGTATATATGTATACATTATATATACATATAGATGTGTAAATCGTTTCATGTTTGTATATTTCTTTGTTGTTGTCGCGTTTGTGCTCTTGTTTAAAAGGCAAAGCAATAATTTTGAGGGATTTCTCTACCAAACGCCTTGGCAATCAATTATGAGAAATGCTACCCCTAACAGTCCCCCCCACCCATGCCAAACCCAAGGCAAATATGTTTAGCTCTTGTTTTTTTCTTGATGTCTCGACGCGTTTGTTATTGCTTGCATTACGCCAAAGTTTTATTAATGGCACGCATTTTTCTGGCACATCTCAGGGATGCGAATGCCAGCGTTGATGGATCTCAGAGAGTGTATGTCCGTATAGATAAGCACTAGGAAAAAGAGATACATGGCCTAGGCCTATTTATAATACAGGAATGGCAAGCTAAATACCCCAAAGAGGGGCTGCCATAGATACAGGCTATAGATACAGGTCAAAGTTCGTCCATTTGGTAGGTCTGTGGACTCTGTTTATTTTGATAATATTCATTCATATATTAATGATGATATATGCGTATATTCCATATACAAAACAAATCTATAAATAGGTGATTCAAGGCACACAAAAAAACACAACTTTGAAATAAACAAATTCATAAAAATTTTTAATGACTAATTGAGCTAAAAATTGTTGCTGTTGTTGTTGATGATGTAAAGAATCCGAAATGCGCATAGCTCAAATATTTTGGTTCTCTTTATTAAACATTAAATCTTTTGGTTTTTGCTTAAAATGTAAACTAAACGTGTAAAAACAGAAAAGGCAACGTGAAATTTTATAACAAATTCGTTATCTTGGAATAATTTACGTATACATATAGAAAATAGTTAGAACTAACACTAGGATAGCTAAGCTACAGATACATCATATATTGTATATTTACACAGATTTAAACTAGAGACTGAGAGAGTGTGACAAAAGACTATAACATAACTGAATGTCGTACTTGAGATCCTTTAAAAAATCCATGTGAATTTCTTAATGGAAGGAAGCGGCTGCCAAGGGCGACGATCACATTTTGGGTAACACTTACATAGCTGGCCAACTGATGGATGAAGCTGGCTGATTGCTTTCAGATCTGGCTTAGACCATATTCCATATGCTGTAGCTGCGCGCACGTCGCTCCTCCTCGACCACCTGTTCGTAGTCGATTTCCAGATACTCCTTGCCCACGAATTTCACCTTGCGTCCGGTGTACTTCTTGATATAGCTGATGTGGGCCGCCACCTCCTTGCCCTCGATCTCGAGCTTATACGAAATGCTGGTGATACGCTCCAAGACTCGGCCACGTTTCCAGCGCACCTGGGTCTTGCGATATCGCTCCGCATACAGCACCAGATCCCCAATCTTGTATTCACGCACATGCAGGCAGGACTTGAGCTTGGCGGGCTCTGGCTCTGGTTCCGGTTCGGGCTCTGCTTCATCGTCTGTCACGTAGGCAATGGCCTTCTCAATTGTCTCAATCTCAGGCACCTTTGGCTCCTCCGGCTCCTGCTGTATGAAGAAGGTGTCGCCAATGGAGAGACGACGCTTCTGTCGCTTTATGATCACTTTCTTCTTGATTTGACGCGGCTTCTTGGGCACGGGCGCTGGCTCCACTTCCACCTGCTCTTCCTCAACCACTTCGGGCTCCGTTTCCGCTGCGATGGCTGTTTCCGTTTCCTTAGCATTCTCCTGTTGCTGCTGTGTGTCGGTTGCTGTTGCTGTTGGTGCCGCAGTTGCCTGCTCCTTGGCTGCTTTTGTCGTCTTCTTGGGCGGCGTTTGCTTATTGAGGCGATCCGCTAGATCCCCAATCTTATTCTTATCCTTCAGAATATTGTTGAGCTTGATGGCCGATTCGTTCGCCTTCTCTTTGCCCTTGTCTATGGAACTTTTGCGCACCAGCTTCTTGAGGTGCGTGGTCTTCTTCTTGGCGGAGACCACCAGATCGGATTCATCGTGCGGCTGCTCAACCGTTTCGATCTTAACGGGCTGCACGGGCCCGGCAAGTACTTTCAGCTCCGGCATGGTATCTAGACTGTTGTTCACTTGCGCCTGTGCGTTGTCTTTTGTAGCAGCAGTGATTGCCTGTTGTTGTTGTTCTTGTTGCTCTGATTGCTCTAGATGTTGTATATGTTGCTGTTGTTGTTGCTGTTGCTGTGGCGATGACTCTTCGTGCGACACTTCGCTCAATGTCGCTGCTATTTGTGGCGTCGCGGCATCAACGGGGGCGACTTCAATGTCAACGGCGTCGACCACCTGTTGCGGTGTTGCTACTGCACTTGCCGGGCTAATTAATGTCTGATTAATGGGTTCTTTAAACTGGCTTAATGAGCCGTTGATTGCACTTGACACTGGCGTTAAGGCTGTTGCAGTTGCTGTTGTTGCTGCTGCTGTTGTTGCTGCTGCTGTTGTTGCTGCTGCTGCTGTTGTTGCTGGTGCTGCTGGTAATACCAGCACCGTTTCACCCACCAATTCGGCTAATTTCAGGCTGGCGCGTCTGCTCGGCTCGCTGGCTGCTGCTTGATTGGCCAAACCATCGATTGGCAATTGTTTTGGCGCCGTCTGCGATGTTGCTGCTGTTGATGTTGCCGCTGCGTTTGCTTCTGCTGCTGCTGTTGAGGTTGCTGCTGTTGCCGCTGCCTCTGGCTTCGTGTCGACGCTTTTGGCAGTTGGTTTTGTTACGCTTTTGGCAGTGTCTGCATTGCTGTTGACCTTTGCGGTTACAAGTTGTTCATTTATTGTTGTCGCCTGTGGCAGCGCTGTCGCCGCCATCGCCGCCGCCGCCGCCGCCCTCTCATCGCTGCCGGAAGCGATTATCGTTAATTTCTGCTTCTTCTTGCGCTTGACAATCGCTTCCGAGTCAGAGGGTCGCCTTTGTATCAGTACATCGGCCGGCACAGGCTCGACCTTTATCTTGGATGGCTCCACGGCTGCAATGGACGCACGTCGCGGATTCCGCACCTTGACAACCGTTTTCTTTTTGGCTGCGGCCTTCTTGGGCAATCCCTCGATTCCTGTTGCTGGCTGCGTGGCTGACTCATCGGGCAATGCGGCTGCCGTCTGTGATGTGGCCTCCACTCCCTCCACGGGCTGCTGCTGCGCTGTTGCTGTTAATGTTGCTGCTGTGTTGGCTACTTGGCAACTGTCCTTGGGCGTCTCCTTGGTTGTTTCTTCGAGGTCCTTTGGTGTTGCGCCTGTCTCTTTAGGCTTGTCTTCAAGCTCGGCCTTGGCTTTGGGTTCATCTTCAATAGGTATTGCTGCTTCAAGCTGCTCCTTGACTGCTGTTGCTGTCGTGCTTGCGACTGTTGCTTCTTTTGACTTTGGCTTTGACTTGAGTTCGCTTTGCACTTTTGCCAGAAACTCAAGCTTGGCTTGTGCCTTAGCTTTTTCATCGGCCTTTGCTTTATCCTTGCTCTCTTGAGTTGATTCTGCGGGTGTAGGTTGTTCGTCCTTGGATTGATGTGTTTGATTTACTTGATCCTTCTCAATTGCTTCGACTTGGGCAATTTCATTTGGTTTCTCTGGGTCGCCTTTAATTTGATTTGTGAGCTGATTCTCTTTCTCCGCAGTTTTGTTCTCTTGAGTAGCTTCCGCTGACCTCAGCTCCTCCTTAGGTTTGCTCTCTGAAACAGCTTCTTCCTTAGTTTGTCTCTGCTGTTCAGATTTATCATTTGTAGGTTTTGTCAAATCCTCGTTCTGCTTCAGCTCCTGCACCTGCTGCTTCTCCTTGCCCGTGTCCTTATCCTCATCAGCTTCATCGAAATAGCTGCGCCTTCTTATTTTCTTAACAAACCGAAATTGTACGGGCTGCGCTGGTTCCGCCTCCGTCGGCGCTGCGCTCACCGCAACAGTTGGTGGTCCGGTCCACTTAACGCCGGCTGCTTCGGCCTCGCTCTCAGTGCTGTACTGCTTCAGCACACCCTTCACCTCGCTTAGTGCACCCGAAATGCGCGCCTTCAACTTGTTAAGTCGCTCAATAACATCTTCTGGCTTCTCTTCCACCGAATCCTGCGATCGCATGCGTCGCTGACGTCGCAGACGCGTTCGCTCCGGCAGCAGAGATTCCACATCAATTGATACATCTTCTCGACTCGTGGAACTGCGTTTTAATTCGCCTAGCAATGGACGCGAGGTCGAGGCCAATGGCACAGCCGTATCACGTATACGACTCGTGATGGCTGCAACTGTTGCTGTGGATGTTGCTGCTGATGCTGCTGCTGTTGCTGCTATTGTTGGTGCGCTGGATAGACGACTCGACACAGGTTCTGGCAAGCGAACATTGCTCTTGAGCAGTTCATACTTCATGTCGCTGCTTTGGTTGCCGTTGATGTCGCTGCTGCTGCTATTGTTGCTATTATTATTGTTGTCATCCAGCTCTACTGGCTGCTCAATTGGATCGCTATAAATATCAACAACGACGGCGGTTGCTTCACTCTCGTCACTCACTCTCGTCACAGTCATGTCCGCACATTCACCGACCACCACCTGCTCAGCCACCGGCTCGCTCCAAAGGTTACCCGTGGCAATCAGCTGCACCAGCTCCAACAATAGATCTATTAAATCGAGATCCCAATCCGGCACTGGGATAACGCTCGCACTCTCGGCTAGCAACGCGCGCACCGTTCTCTTTAGCGATTCTAAACTAGCAGCCCCGTTTGCTTTGGTTCGAATTACGTCTGATTGTTGCCGTTGCTGACCATCCACTTGCTCTGACGACGAGTCGCGCGCGTCTGAATGAGTGGAGGCGGTGGCTGCGGCTGTGGCTGTTAGCTCCTCAGCTATTGTTTGACTCTGCTCTGCTCGGCTGGCCAAGCATATTGACTGCCGCTCTTTAGTCATATTTAGCTCATTATGAGCTGCTGCCGTCTCTAATTTGCTTTGCTCACATATTTCGCGTTTATTTTTGGCATTACCAGCATTCATGGCGTCGTCGTCGTCGACGTTGCCTTCGTTGTTGCTGTTCTCATTGTTGATGTTGCTGTTGTTCTTGCTGTTGCTGTTGTTGTTGTTGTCGTGTCGCCACCCAAAGGCGTCATTAAAATTTTCCGCCTGTTGATGCTCGATTTCCTTTCGCTCGCCAACGCCTTCAATTTCGACGTTCAAGTTTAATGTTTGCTCGTGAGCGTTAAGTTCATTATCAAATGCCGCCTTATGTACATCATCAACATTATTATCATCGCGATGATCATTGAGATCATCATCATCATCATCATCATTGTCATTGTCAGCATCAACTGTCCGCTGCGAATCCATGTCTATTTTGGTGCTCATATTGTAGCTCGCCTGCGTCACTGTTGTTGTTGTCGTTGTTGTTGGTGTGGGCACCACATCCGTCGTTGTTGTTGGCTTTGGCGTTGGCTCGTTGCTCTGATCATTTCCATGCACAACATTGGCATTGGCATTTCGATGTTTCTTACACTCTGGCTGATTATTGGGAAAGCTGATAAATTGTTTTTTAATTGTGGGAAATTCGTTTCGAGCAAATCGCGTTGTCGCCACGGTGGGTCTGATCCCCCACACGCTTATTGATTGAGTTGAATAGTTGAAATTCCTCTTGGTCAATTGGCAAAGCAGCGGAAATCTTTGTGGCAAAGGCAAGTGAATCACTTGCTCGGGAAATTTAGATATTGCTGCTGTGCTTACAATATTGCTAAAGGATTTATTTGCTACATGTTGCTGCTGAACTGGAAAAGTTGCTGTGGCCGGAGGTAAAGCTTGCTCTGCTTGCAGCAGCGGAAACTTTCCAGGCGCAGCCATTTTGATTTTTGACTGTGGCCGCCATTGTTGTTGCTGTTGCTGTGGCGGTTGATTATGTGAAGAGTTGCACTGCAGCGCCCTCTGCAGCGGAAATCGTTGCTCATCCATCGGCACTTCCGGCGTGCAGAAACCATTCGCATTTGCTGCTGACAACATGGCTGACTCAGCTCTATGCTTCAACAATATTTGCGAATTATGTTTATAATTAGCTGCTGTCAGCGCCAGTGGCTGCGACTGCGTCTGCGGTTGCGGCTCCCCTTGCCCAGACTTGTTGAATGACAACGCCCGCGCGTTATTCACTTGATTGCTCTGTTGTTGACCTATTTTAGAGGCGTTTCAATTTGAATTTTGATTCACAAATTTTTGTTAGTTTCATCAAAACACGCGCTACAGTTTGTTGCTGCTTTCAACACTAGGTTGCAACCCGAACTAACAAAATGGGGCATCTTTTAGCAACACGCAAATGTCTAGACAAATGCTTTAATTGTTGTAAATGCTAAATCAATGCTGCGCTCTCTATGTACATATAATTGGCAATAAATTTCTTTGAACGAAACCGAATATTGAATACACTACGGGAAGTCTTATACTTTAGCATTTATGTCTTATACTATTTATATAAAAAATTAATTTTTAAGCTCTTACAAAAAATTCTTTTTACTAGCTTAACATATGTATATAATATGATAATATCAAGCATAAGCCCTAGCAACTAAGTTTCTAATTGCGATAAATTCATTGTGTCTGAAACCGTAATTTATGCATACACACAGATGTACAGCTATATAGTAAGCACGTCCGATTATATAGACTATATAAATGTGTCGCCTTGCCAAATTGATTTTAGCCGGCCACAAAAAAGAAAGATAGGTAAAGAGTGAAAATTAAAAAACAACTCGTGCCAAATAGCGCCACAAGCCCATTGTTTAAATATATTTGTATATATAGTACATATACATATAGACGCAAATGCAGCATACGCTTGCCAAATTCGCCAGCAGGCAAAACATAAATAACGAAGACTACAAAATTGCTTTAATCTCTTTCTGATCCGTTTTGAGTAATTGAAAATCATTTATTTCACAGCCGCTGTTTCCTTTATCGCGGACGTGCACCAAACTCGGCTTCGTCCACGGGCAACAAGATACAGCATATAACCGAGTATAATGATCTTATTACGAGCATCTTCGGCGAGCTTACTGAAGAGAACAAATGCCGCATGGAGGAGAAGAAGAAAGCGGCAAAATCAAAAGCGTTGAAAGAAAGTGAAGCTAAATTGGCTAAAGAGAAATTGGCCAAAATGAAAGAAGAAGGTAAAGATCCTAAGGGAGCCGGTCCAGCTGGTTCCGCGCCGCCAGCTAAGCCGCAACGTAAGCCAACAGATAGCGCATCTCCAGGTGAGGGTCCATCGCCAGCAGCGCCAGCAGCGTCAGCATCGCCAGGACGTAAATCTGCTCCGAGCGCACCAACAAACCAACCAAGTAAAGCTAGGAAACAAAATGTTCCGCAAGCGCCAGCGAAACAAGAGAGTCAAACACCTAAAAGAGCTGATACTCCAAATCCGAACAGTAGCAAAGAAGAAAATACACCCGTTAGAAAACAACATAGCCCAACCCCTGCCACTGATCCCAACCGGACGAAAACTGAGGAGAAACCCTCTTCAGAAGATCCCAACGATTTTTGGTAGTTTCGAAACCATACGAACAAAATTACAATTTTACTTATTTGTTATTTAAACTAATTCAGTTTTGAATTATAGCAAAATTCGTACCTAAAAGTATATTTTCCACTTTCTTGACACACATAATTGTTTTTGTTTTTAACATTGTTTCCAATAGTTCGGATTTTGTTCCATGCGACGCTGAAAGTTTGTATACCAATTTTGTACAACGGAGAAAGGCACAAAGGTTTCAGTCGTGGCAGGTGGAATCTCTGGTAAGCCCACGCAAAAACTGGACGCATAATTGAAAAAGTTCTCCAGCATGCGCTGTCCAAACTGTATATTATCGTTGGCGCTAGACTGTAAACGAAAAATTTGTGTAAATAATTAATGTGCGTATTCTTAAACTAGAAATCCATGCCACACTTCTTGTCCGTTTCATACCAGCCTTAAACGCTTTCTTTATCGTTACACGAATTGCTGTCTATGCAAATATATAAACATATACCGGTTATGGATCTCTTTTCATGCATCTCATATATCATATGCAACTACTCGATCTATGTAATTCAATAATATAAGCTCCACTTTGGAATGTCGCGTTTAAGGTATAAAACGGGCAAAAAGCACTGCGTGAATTTTTAGTTTATTAAACTCCACATATACTTACAACTGCAGGTGTTTGTTGAACTACCGTCACTTCGGGCTCTATAGAAATGCCAATTTGAGCTATGTGCGAGATCTCCTGAGCACCAAAGACCATCCCATTGGAATATGTGTCCAGTTCCGGGCCTTTCTTCAGCTGCGCTATTTTGAAAATCGCGGAGGGTTTGGTGTTATTGATGTGGCCCAGATATTGCCATGTAGGCGCTGCATTTGCATCTGGCCAACTGAAATAGATTGCTGCTGCGGTGCCAAGTGGCAGGGGCGTGATGCCAGTTAAGAAAATAACAACATAATTCACGTTGTCGATGTCAGGGACGTTTATCAGCAGTTTATTCTCATCAACCGCTACAAAATCGGTTTGAGGCTGTGCGTGTGAGCAGTGTAAAGGTATTGTTTTAGTTTATTTCATTAGCATTTAAGAAGTACTCACCAGTCTACCTGAAATAATCAAGCCAAACATTTTCGCCCGGCTTCTTTGTCTTTTCTGGAATAAATAACACCACTACCATCAGCGTGCACAGCCCTCATACGGCTTTAGTATTTTTTATCGCATACTTCTGGCGAGCTGGTCATACTGTAGCGATGTCGAAAAATGCAGTATATCGATATTTTTAGTAGTGCCTACCAGCGTATCAGAATTTAGTGTTTGTTTTTGCGTATAAAAGTTATGGCCGGACTATTATACTTAAGTAAATTGTGTAGTAAACAGAAAACACTCACCTACACCTTCCACATTACATGCCAGAAACAGATCAAAACAAGACATCCAGCATATGTGGTACGTATAATAAACAACACGACAAACCAAATTCAAGGCCATTTGCGGCTAGGTTACGATTTCATAATGATAAAGATTAGCAGGCATGATGTGCAGATTATTGGCTAAAAATATGCAAGAAAAAGAGCAAAGAGGTCAGGCAACAGTATGTGTGTGTGTTGTTTTGGCCCCTTTTCGAAAAATTAGTTGAAATTTTATTTTAATGCCTTTACGAACGTACGCACTTGCTTCTTTCGTTGCAGCAAGACTAAAAACAAAAACGAAACTTAAAAAAAAACACGAATAAACGGGCGCCAAAACAGCACACATACGCAGAATGGGGCGCACACAGCGGCAAAGACAGCGTCGCAATTCACAAACACCAACACCAACATCTACAACACTTGCTAATGCTTTGCACGTGCTCTATGGCCAACTTCATGCGTTGGGCTGGCGCAATGAGACTCGTCTCTCAGCTTTGAATTTTCCACAAACCGGACGCGGGCTGTGCTCCAAGACTAAAAGTTTCGAGGCAGGCGATGAGTTGATACGTATGCCCGCCAGCTGTCTAATTAACATAGCAACGCTGGAAGCGGATGAAGCCTTTAAGCAGCTCTTTAATAGAGATTTGTTTGACAAGGATGCACGATTATCCTTTCAAGCGCTTGTGGCCTGCTATCTAATGTATCAGGGGCATCTGTATGAGTGCACAAAGGTTTCTCCATGGTCTGCCTATTTGGATACTCTACCCAGCAGCTATACGACTCCCTATTTCTGTGCTATCAACGAACTGCAGTGCCTGCCCGATGCATTGCTGGAACGCACAGTGGCACAGAATCGTCAGATACGGGAGTATTATCAGGTGCTGAAAGGTCTAGTAGGCGCCCAGCAGTGCGAATACTGTGGCAAACGCTACTGCGAGGACATCTGGACGTTGGCGGAATATAAAATAGCTTACTTTACTGTCAACACACGCAGTGTCTACCTTGATGCAAGGCAACTGAAGCAGTCCAACAAGAGTCATTTCCAATCGCTGCTTAATGACAGCTCAAACTTAGCTCTGGCGCCTTTTCTGGATCTATTCAATCATTCTGATAGTTTGCAGACTACAGCGCAGCTCTACAGTAAAAGTCAGGAGTATGTTCTTACTCTGGAAGCCTTCTCTAAACCCATACTCAAACCATATGAACAGCTCTACATCAGCTACGGAGCTTTGCCCAATTTGAAGCTAATCACGGAATATGGCTTTTATTTGGAGCACAATGCGCACGATTACTTTGAATTCTCGCTGCAGGACATTGAGCAACTCATCGCGCACAATAAGGAGCTGGCAGCGCAGAGCTATCATCGCAATATATTTAAGTTCATCAGGGAGCATAATCTAATGGATCAGATGTTTGTGCACATCCAGGATGGCTGCTCACACAATTTGCGTGTCGTGTTGCACCTAATCTTCAAGCAACGGGCGTATTTTCCCAATGTGCTCAATCAAATTGCCTTCGGCGATGTTGAGCAATTCGATGATGTGCAGCCAGAGCTGAGCTATTTGCTGGCCTATAAAATTAAGGAGTATCAGGGATTTGTAAATGCACTGCAGAAGCAGCCACAGCTCACGGAGAGCGGAACTGTTGCACTTGGCTACCTGATAGAATGTCTACGTTACATACGCGACTTTGACCAGGCTCATAGTTAAGGCTAACTGAATTTTCTTTTATACAATAAAGTACAATTTTATATGTTTTTGTGAACAATCTCTGTCATTTGGCTTAAAGTTTTCATTTTGCCTTGCAGCTATATTCCACGCTCGCCAGATCGAACGATGAATCACAGAATAATAATGCGAAATCGAGCAAGAAGATAACACCATTCACGCCCACGCCGGGCAGCAAACTGCTTGGGGGCGTTTTTGGCAAGAAGACGAAAGGTAGGTGTGGCTGCCACCCCAATTCAGTGAATAACTTGATATGCGAGAGAAGTTTGATTGATTTAAGTAAATAATTAACCATTGTGCTGACTACCCTCGTATAACCAACCACGTAGAGGACTTATTTAAGAAACCCTCAACGTATAGAGGCTACTTAATGTCCGATTCATGTCATTTAAATGCTTTCTGCAGAGCTTTAATGTAGTTGAAACTAAAAAGTCTTACACTTAGGCTAAGCACTTGCTTGTTCATCTATATTCGATATTTATATTTTTGACTAACTAATTTTTGTTTTGTTATCTGAGCCAATGAGTTGTTAACAAACACAAAAAAAAGAATGCACTTCGTTTGTTTGTTTGTCTGTTCGTTTGTTGTATTGGCGCCTGTTTGGATTTAGCTGCAATAAAGTCAATTCGATGCAGTTGCAGCAACAGCATCAGCAGCAGTGCTACAACAACAACAACGACTGCCACAACAACAACAACAACAGCAATCAAGACTATGTCACGTTCATATAGGCAGCGGCGGCAACGATGGCGGCTCAACGCTTGGTAAACTTGACGCACCGGAGGTCACCTCCAAGGATATGCTGCGAGCGATGATGGCCTACATCTGGCCAAAGGAGGATGCGCTCGTACGCAAGCGGTAAGTCGTAAAGAAATAATACATTCCGTATATATCGTCATATGCTTAACATCTATCATCGTTTCATCTACAGCGTGGCCATCTCGCTGGGCCTGCTGGCTGGCTCCAAGCTGTTGACAGTTTGTGTTCCATTTCTATTTAAGGGCGCCATAGACACGATGACAACGCTGAATATGGACACAGCGCCGGACGCTGTGCTGTCGACGGCCATTGCCATGCTATTGGGCTGTAAGTACGACCAGGCTGGTTGCTATGTGATTTATAAGACTTGCCTCCTTGCAGATGGCATTGCCAGAGCTAGTGCGGCGGGCTTCAATGAGCTGCGCAACGCTGTGTTTGCGAAGGTGGCTCATCATTCCATACGCAAAATAGCCACCAATGTGTTTCTGCATCTTCACAATCTGGACTTGGCGTTCCACTTGAACAAGCAGACGGGCGCGTTGTCCAAGACAATTGATCGTGGATCGCGTGGCATTAACTTTGTGCTATCAGCCATGGTGTTCAATATAGTGCCCACGATCTTTGAGCTGACACTCGTGTCCAGTTTGTTGGGCTTTAAGTACGGCTTGGCTTTCGCAGGCGTCAGCATGGGCTGTGTGGGCATCTACGCTTTGTACACGCTGAGCGTGACGCAATGGCGTACGCGTTTTCGTGTCTACATGAATCAGGCGGAGAACGAGGCTGGCAATAAGGCAGTCGATTCGCTTATCAACTACGAAACTGTGAAGTATTTCAACAACGAAAAATACGAGGCTGGCTGCTACAACGAGGTGCTTAAGAAATACGAGGCGGCCAGCTTGAAAACCAGCTCCAGTTTGGCTCTTCTCAATTTCGGACAGAATGCGATCTTCAGCAGCGCGCTCAGTTTGATCATGGTGCTGGCAGCCAAGGAGATTGCCCAGGGCAACATGACTGTCGGAGATCTGGTCATGGTGAATGGTCTGCTCTTCCAGCTATCCATACCTCTGGGCTTTCTGGGCAGCGTGTATCGTGAGGTGCGGCAAGCGCTGCTCGACATGCAGGCCATGTTTACGCTGATGAATGTGGACAGCCGCATACAGACGGCGCCCAATGCCCAGCCTCTCTACGTGGACAATAGCAATGCGTCCATTGAGTTCCAAAATGTGAGCTTCGAGTATGAACCAGGCAAGGCGATTTTTAAGGATTTGTCGTTCACCATACCCGCCGGCAAGAATGTTGCAATTGTGGGTGGCTCCGGCTCCGGCAAGTCATCTATGGTGCGACTGCTCTTCCGTTTCTTCGAACCCAACGCAGGTCGCATTTTGATCGGGGGCCAGGATATCAGCGGCGTTGAATTGGACAGCTTGCGCCGAAGCATTGCTGTAGTGCCCCAGGACTCGGTGCTGTTCCATAATACCATCGAGCACAACATACACTATGGCAATCTGAGCAAATCCCACGAAGATGTGCAGAATGCTGCACGCATGGCCGATCTGCACGAATCAATCATGAGTTGGCCAAATCAATATAGGACCCAAGTTGGCGAGCGCGGCCTCAAGCTCTCGGGAGGTGAGAAGCAACGCGTGGCCATTGCGCGAGCTATTCTGAAGAACACACCCATTCTAATCTTCGATGAGGCTACCAGCAGCCTGGACTCGATTACAGAGCATGTAAGTATCCCCATTAAATTTCCGCATAATTACTTTATTTAATCATGAAACTTTGCTGTTACAGAACATACTGAAAGCCCTGTCACGCGCCACCACGGGTCGCACCAGCATTTGCATTGCCCACCGGTTGTCGACGATAAAGGATGCCGATGAGATTCTGGTACTGGAGAATGGACATGTGGGCGAGCGGGGCACACACAAGGAACTGCTCAATCAGAATGGCCTCTATGCGCGCCTGTGGGAAACGCAAACCCAACAGTTCGATCCCAGTCGACAGGAACGCGTCTCAGCGTCTGCTGTGTAGTCAAGCGTTGATCCGCCTGGTTATTTGTTCTAGTTTTAAGAGTGCGTGTGCTTAGTTACTTGACAAGGCCACAAAATTTATAGTAGACCGTTTGTTGTTAATTTTTAGGCTGAAAGAAATATTGTGTCCGGTTTGTAAATACAGTTATACATATACATATACATACATAACATATAAACATATAAATAGCGTATGTAAATGAATTTTATATTTCGATTGAGAAACGTTTCCAAGTGAAAACATTCTCAAGTACCAAGTGCAACGGCTATGGATTGTCTTTTCCTTTCAAGACAAGTGAAAATTTGAATTTATTAAATTTTTAAGTGCCTATAACTCAACTAACTGAACTTGAAAGGTCTCCTTTTGAGTTATTCAAACTCTGTAGAACGTTTTAGCTAAAATTGCAATTCAATTGTAAGTTTATAAAACTCTTTCTTATCAGAGGTATAACATTAAACATTTATTATCAGTTTTATCACGCACAAATTTGTGACACTTAGGGACTTAGGCAAGAAAATACATTTGTAGCAAGTGGAATATATGTATAATCTCGACTGCTTCATTCTTAATCTCTCTCTCGTATGGAAATAGGTATGGGCACCTCGTATAACAAAAAGAGCAAACAATTGGCCAAATGTGTGAGGAACTGTTGGTAATTGGAGACACGTTGCTTGAATTCTTGCCACAAGGGCAACAATGGTTTATCTTTAGTCTGGCCCACATCATCTATAACAATATCCTGCTCGAGCATTGTCTTATTGACATAGGTGTATAAATAGGAGGCGGGCTTCTGGCCAATGGTGGTCACATAGTGCGTGGCATTGCTCTCCAGGCTGATGCTCTTGCCGGCAGTGAGGAAATACGCCTCGTCGTCCTTGGCGCTCTTGTAGCGTACATTGCCCTCAAGGATCGTCAGGCTGCAGTTAAACAGAGCCGGTGCGATGAAGTTGCTCAGCGTTAGACCCGGAAAGTCGGCTACGAATATAACATCCGAGTAGTTATTCCAGGCGAGCACTTCGTCTGCAATTGTCTTCAATTTCGGTCGCATGTGGTTGAGCTCTGTGAGCAGCGGTAGCGACCAGGGCGTGCGCTTGAAGGGTGACCAAGGCGCTTTAAGCAGGTCCACTCTCGGATCAAAGGTGCGCTGCTGGAAGCGTCCATTCATGGCGCACCAGATGTCAAAATAGATGGAAATATTTTTGCTGGTCAGCGGACTATTCTCTGGGTTCCTATCCATATCCTCGTGTATGTTCTTCTCAATGCATTTGGCGTATTGCACAGCCATGTCGGCGTATTTGGTCCAGCGATCGTATTCGGTGAAGGCATAGGGATTCAGATGATGCACCTGCTGATTGTTGTTGTCAACGACCTTGATGGATGTCAGCACTGTGTCGTACGAGTGCACCATCATGTCCCAGGAGTAGCCATACAGACCATTCGTCCAGTTGTTGTAGCCCTTGGTAATGAAGTGCGAGTAGGGCAAGAAGAGCTGCAGAGCACAATAGGACAGGATCAAACAGCTGCGCAGCTGAGCCCAGAAGCTAGGTGAGGATTCAGATGGTTTCTTTATGGGCTCCTCTACTGTAGACGAGCCAGGCTTAGATGAGCGGCACAGACGTCTTGGCCAGTCAAAGCTATAAAAGAGCGGGACTTCAGCCAAGCAAACCCAGGGAAACATGCCTGCAAAACAGAAATGTTTATGTTAAAGCAAGATTAGATTAGGTAAGCCCTTTGCCACTTACCTATAACAAACAGACGCGAGTTCATCAAATGAAAACTGATCATAAATGGAGTCACCAACAGTCGCGTCTTCTCGCACGTCATAAAGAACGCTATGGACAGGTCGAAGAAGGCCGTGAACCAATGGATAATCAGCAGATCGATGAGCTCGCCATCTAAAACCTGACGAAATGGCGCAAAGACCCAATGCTGACTGAGACTCGTCATCGCATAGCCGGAGAGCCACTCGAATGAGAACTTCTTCAAGCCTGCGTACATGTAGAGCACAAAGAACTGAAACTTGATGAGAAAGTAGTTCCAATAGGGCACTGCTCGACGCAGCTCTGGATGTAGCCAACTGTCCAAGGAGCTGGAAGATCAAAGTGTGAATGTTAGGAACTGCAACAGAATATTTATATATTAAACCCACCAATAGCAGTTCGCTCTCGTGAACAGCAACAAGGTGCCCACCAGGCCAAATAAATAGCTGTGATTATTCCACGCCGGCTTGTCCAGCAAGAAGATGTACCAGTAGCACGTCACAAAGGACAAACAGCTGATGCGAAAGCGATAGCCAAGCATAATGCCCATTGCGCCCAGCCACATGGCCAGATAGACGCAGCCCATCAGCGGATAGTCCAGAGCACGTATGCCATTGAACAGAGGAAAGTGACAGTGATGAGGCTCGCCAAAGCGTACATCCAGCTGTCCGCCGCCTCGCTCCTCGGCGATATCAATCAACATGGCTGCGCCGTAGAGCATTCGGAACACACCCAGGGCAGCGCCATCTACCGGCCGATGCAGCCATCTGGTAAACGTTTGCAAGTTATCAAAATTGTGCAGATCATGTCCAAAGCAGAGCTTGAAAAACTGAGCAATTGACGAGGATTCATTCGCTGATAACTTTGGATTGGACTTGGTCGGCTCATCAGTCACCATTGGGGACTTTGTGGTTTCATCTTCGATGTTGGCTTCTGTCGCATTTGGTGTTGTGGGCTGTTTGCGTTTCGAGTTGGTCATAGTGCCTGAATAGAAGGCAGCTTAAAGGAACAAAACTTAATGAGATGGAAACAAAGCTTTGAGTCTTTAAATGACATCTTTTTCATGGGATAAAATACTTGAAAATTTGTATTATAATTTACAAAAATATGAAACTGATTATAAGCTGTCCTCTTTATGCCCATGCCCATAATATGTTGTCTTCGAAAATTAATGTGTTTTTTTTTTTTTTTTTTGTAGAATTTATTGAAAAAGTTTGACATAAATACATGCATGCATATTGTTTGTATACTAAATATATAATATATGTGTTTTGTTTTATTTCTTTTGCGTAAATATAAATCTACGTTTGCTGTCTTTGCTTTTTATATGTTTATGTATGTTATGAAGCACACCTCGGATGCATCCCAACCCCCCATTTTCCATATTCAAACTTGAACATCCAAAGCTGCGTTCATTGAAAAATTGTTGTTGTTCGTGTTAGCGAAACATTGTGTTTCGCATTCAAAAAATACATCAATTACGAAATATATATATTTATGTATATAATATTCTATTACATCTCTCTCTTTCTTTATATTCTTGACTCGAGTTATTATTGCAACAAATTTTGCCCAGCTGCGCACTCTTACCGAATGCTCGAACACTTTTGAAAAGATTTCCTATTTGTCACATTAAATTTTTCTTTTTTTTTTTTTGCATATTTAGTTTGGAATATAGTTGAAAATACATATATAATATTGGTTTTGAATAGTTTCACAAAATTTCTAGAAATTTTGGAGAACAAGCTTTGAAAATGCTTTAAACTACGCATACGAATATAAGTATAGCTGAATATAGTTTTAGGTTCTTACTTTTTGTTATGTTGTTTTAAAAGCTAATGCTTTGGTAATTCTAGTTCAAGACGGGAAAAAACAATAAAATTAATATAAATATGAATTTTTAAAAATATATAAAATAACAATGTATTAAAAAAGAAAACTTAGTTTTTTTTTTTTGTGGTGCCTTGCTATTTAAGCTTCAATGTATTTATATGTATTTTACTTTTATTTTTGTTTTTTTTTATGTGTTGGCCTTAAGTATTTTCTTTTTTGTTTTGCCATTAAAATATTATTATATTTCTTGTTTGTATTTTTTGTTTTACATTAGATTATTTTTGACGCAACGCTAAAATATTTTAAAATGCATTTTCAAAGTTAATTCATTAAGTATTTTGGTTTTCTTTAATCAAGAGTAAGCTTTGAAAGTTGTTAGACAAAGTCCACGTCGAGTTGTCTAAAAATTTTTGCATACAATTGTGAGCCAAACCGGCAAAAAAACATTATAGAATGAATGTTGTTGTTGTTGTTGCCATACGACCGGCAAGCGACCCCCATCCCCACTCTCTCTCTCTCGCACCGTCCGTCATTCTCTCTCAGTGCCCAGCACCACCATCTTGTTTAGTGATGCGCAGGCGCGTTCTCATGCTCGCTCTGTCTCGCTCTCGCCGGTCGCCGCTCTCGCCTCTCGTTTTATATGCGGTTCTGATTCAACTGAGAGCGTGGCGTGAAGGGGCTAACCATAACACCACTCGGCCAAATAGCCTCGTTGAACAGCTCATTGAAACGATAGTCCGGTATGGATATTTTGAATTTGCAATATGACAATTGCGATAGATTGGCATCGTTCTTCACCAGTTTGGTGCACTTCACCAGATTCTTATTGATTTTCAGCTCCTCGGCAAGGTGCTCGATAATGTCATCCTCGCTGGTGTTTGTCGCAAACTTGCCCACCTGCACCCAGCGACCGTAGTCGCAGACGACCTGCAATCGATCCGAGTTGCAATTGTTGCCAACGACAATCAGATTGTTCTGCTGCGGATGCTTTTTGCCATCGAGATTGTTGACGGGCTGATTGCCAAATTGGAAATATTGCTGGTACATGCGTCCCTGGATCTGATTGACGCCGTTGCACACCTTGTTCACCTTCTCCTCGATGGTGTGCAGCTTGGCGGACAGCGCCTTCGACGATTGATTTCTGCACTCATCACAGTTGAACGATATCATCGGATTCTTTTGTATTAAATCGTACATCGCATCGTCAATATTGACGCACGTCCGATGGAACTTCTTCAGGCAGTCATCTGAATTGCAGATGATGATTGCATCCTTCGAGTTGATTGATTTTTTGCATTTTGGGCAATTTTCGGCCATGTTTGCACTTGCTTAGGCTTCTGCTGCTGCTGCTACTGCTTCTTCTTCTCTTATTACTTTTTTTTTTTACTGCTTGGTTTGAGGAGAACGTCGACAATGTCGAGAAATACACGCACACACTCAACACTCAACACGCACACGCACACATTTACTGTTTGATATACGCTGTCTGTGTGTGTGCATTCGCTAGTCGACTCTGTGTGTGTGTGTATGAGTGTGAGAGAAGTTTGCTAAAATGTTGTAGAAAATGGGGAAGCGCAATCGAAACTGCGAACCGTCCGCTGCGAAGTTTGCTGTTCAACTGAATGCCGAACCCTTAGAAAAGCTGCGTTGCACTGTGCTCTGACACGATAATTAAGGGTGGCTTTTCTTTGTTGTTGCTTTTGTTGTTGTTTTCTTTTTCTGTTTTTGCTTTCTATATTAATTTATTTTTGTTATCGGGTTCAGTCGCTGTGCCGCTCAATTGTGCTTTTAACCACTATTTGCTGGCCATATGATTCTCTATTGAGAGCCAACGCATGCTACATATATTTATTTATTTATTTTACTCTTCTTCTTTGCTAACGTTACTTTTTTCTGCTACTTGTTTCATTTTTTTAATGTTGCAACACTGGCAAGTCAGTTCAAAGTGGGTAGCAACGTACACTTGCCTTGGCCAGTGTTGTAAAGGCGCATAGGTACTTGAGGCACGGAATGCAACAACTCTGTTGTCGAATTTAACTCGGAAGTTACAACCTGCTTCTAAATATTTAAGGCTCATTTTGGAAGAAGTTTCGAGTATGTAAGTTTACATTTTTCATATTGTATATTTATGTACAACAATTTTGCTTAATTTATAAAAAATAAATATAATAATTTGTTTTATTTAGCAACAATATTGCAATCAATTTTAAAGCAGAGCTCAATTATTTATACTATAACAAAACTTATATATAACAACAAATTCATAAATTAAATTAGCCCAATAAGAATTTATATGAGCTAAGACTCTCTATTACAAGAAAATTTAGAGCAGAGAAATCCCTATATTTTAAGAGCAATTCATAAATGTAAATTATTTCCAGATATATGTATGTACATATATAGTGAATGGATGTGTCTTTAAAGAAACATTCAACTATCCTCATTAAAATTTGGCTTTATTTTATCAAGCTCATGGATATTTCTAGAAATAGAATGTAAATAACTAACTCATCTGGTAGAACATAGTCTTTCCTTATATTACAAAGCAATATAAATGTAAATATTTATCCTAAATAGCTGAACATAGCTTATAAATCATTGGCTTTATAAAAGACCGTCAATTTACAATTGAGCTTTACTGCCTCAGTGTGTTCACTCCACTTACAATAAATAAAAATCTACTTTTTTTTGTATACAATTTCAACATTTTAATTAGCTATAAGACAACAGTTTAAATTGCCTAGAAACCCACACAAGCTACCCACTTAGCTCCGCTCTATTTGTTTATATTGAGACCCCCACTCAAACTGGGCAAAACAAACCCAGACGCACGAATCGTAGCTTCATATTGCACATGTCGTGTAGGTGTCAAATGAAATAAGTGCTCTCACCTGGCTTCAATTTAAGTGGAATACTCCGAAGTTTGTGCAATTACGGCGATCGGTAATGGGGGTAAACACATGGAAACGCAATAACTTCCGCTGTTCAATTGCAACTTTTCCGCTTCTGCTTTTATGCTTCTGCTTTTCGCAACAGTTTGCGGCTGTGTAACGTGGGCAGGATAACACTGCTAACTGCTGCTCTGCAAATGAGCAACAACAAGGACACTACGCGAGCAACACGGTCCAGCAACTGAGGCTGCCTGCTCCTAGCTACGCCTTATTTATACAACTCTAGAGCAGCTGTGGCTGCTGCCGGAGAGTGGGCTGCTCTGGTGGGTGGGGTTGGCTGGATGGCGGCGGCCAAGTGGCGGCACAGGTGGGCGGGGGTGTTGTTTGCGCATGTCCTTGCACAACGAAAGATGAGACAAGCTGGATAGCGGCAGAGAGAAAGACAGAGAGAGAATAAGAGAGTGAGAGAGTGGGTGTTACGTCCTTCCCCCTTTGTACATAATAATAAAATATATGAGGTCCTGGTACAGGATTGCGTGGGTGATGGCTTGACTAAAATGCAAATAGCGTTAACAGGTGTAGCGGCAGCTGCGCCAGCGACTCGTCGACTCAACGCAGCTGTTTTTGTTTGCCCCGGCTAGCGACGATTCACCTGTAATTGGGTTTCATTAGCGGAGCCGAGGGAACCCATTTCCGTTTCCCTTCTATTTTATTTAAGCCCTTGTTAGCTGGAATTTGCCGCGTGTTCCAGTTTTGGTGTCAATAGATTTTAATCAGGTGTGGCAAGCGTGGTAAACAGCCAACCCATCGCCCACATGCCTGCGTTCAGCTGATTTAAATATGTATCTCGTCTCAGTCTCCCGGTCTCCGCTATATTTGTATTCCGCTTTGTTTTTATTATTGTGCCCGTTGCCAACTACGCCGTATGCTCAATTGTTATTTATGTATGCAATACGCACGGCACGTGGGTTCACCTCGATACAGGATACAAGGATACAAGGATGTAAGAATTCAGCGCTACAGGCTCTGCAGTAGCTGTAGTGGCTGCTAAGTGCGTAGTTTCTCTCCATTTACGTTTGCCTAGTTTAATTTAAGCACTAATTCCTATGCTTAACTATTTTTAGCCCTTTGACAGCTGAAAATTGTATTAATAGTTGTTTTTGTCTGTTGCCATGGCTGTTACTGCCTCTGACGTTTTCTGCACTGAAGAGTGAGAGCAAACATGAAAATGCTTTTTGGCTCAATGCACAAAACAATTACAAAACAATTCAAAGTCGAAACTTTATATTATTCATATCATTGTATTTAGTTTTATACAAATTTGCATGAAGATTCGCCTGGAAGCCAAAAACAAGGCCTGAAATGAACATATTTTTAGCCATTGTACGGAAAGTTTTCAATTGTAAAGTTTTTAGTTTGATTTAGGCATGAATTTGAGCTAGACATAAATAAGTCTAATACAATAAATAACAAGTAAGAACGTTGCAGTCGGGCGCTACCGACTGCGGAATACTCATTCACATCCCGCGGAAAACTCTTTTTTGTAAATTGCAAATTTTGTTATTTTAGCTTATTTTATATTTTTTAAATATTTAAATTTTATTTTTATATTTTATAAAAATCTTTCCTTCCGTGTTATCAATGCCTATTAAGCCTATTTGTATATACATATACATACATACATATGTATGTAGGTAGCTCAAGCATATAAATGTCGCAATTTGATAATACATATGCCGATTACCACGCCCCTAGTGGCCGTAGACACCTCATTTTTGGCCAGTTCTT